GAACTTTCATAGGTGATGCTAAGGTCATCAGTTTTAGAATGCCATAATAATGGCCCCAGAATTTTTGATCTCAATTGGTTGTGCATGGCCAACATTATAACGCGTGTAGCGCAATCACATTTTTGTATGTAGGCACCCCCCCCTCCATGTGTGTGTTTATGTGCGTATGCACGGAAGTGGGAGAGAGGGGTTGTTGGCAATTTAAGTGTTGGGTGTAACTATTTTTATCACATAAGAAGATATGGTCCCCTATGTGATACATTTTTTGCGAACAGGGTCTCTTTAAAGCAGAATTAAACCTAGATTTATATTAATAAAAAATAGAACAAAGTAAGAAAATTGACAAAGTAGATGAACCAAGTGGACTTTTCCCTGCCTGTCAGTGTTTATGTAAACTCTGCAATGTATACATAGTCAGTGTACATTTCTGCATCACATGTGCTGCGATTATTGAACTCTTAATCCTATCAAGCAGCTGAAGAGTCCAAATCGGAGTAACACTGGGAGAGGATTGGAGTCCCATGATAACCAAGAGTGCTGACACCGCAGCATTTGGAGGGGATTGCAGTAGAAGATAAGTAGAGATGAGCGATTATTCAAAATTCATTTCGGCTGATCGGCGAATTCGCGCGGTAATAAATTTGATTCGAGTCGAATATATTCGCCTGCGTGAATTTAAACTTTTAAAATGGGGTGTTTCTAGGCTTCTGAGAGCCTTTATATTAGGGCAGAACACTGTACCTTTAATTTAAATGCCTTGGAGGTTGCTAGGGAAGTAAAGATACTGTCAGTTCAAGTTTGATGACATGCAGCATGAGTGCCGTCGATCTTAGAGTGAATCACCGCACACTTCACTCATTTGGGCAGTTCACGGGGCCAAATACCAGAGTGTGGAGCCACAGTATGTGGCGGGGGATTATGTGAGGAGCGCAGCAATGGGGAGGCCATACAGCACCTATGAAAAATAAATGGAAGCTCACACCAGCCGTGTGAGGAGACTGAAAGTGGCACATTGGGCAGTGTGTGGCGGGGGGATGGGAGACTGCAGCAATGGAGAGTGCCGTACAGGGACCATGACACACACTCCTGGAACCTGGCAGCAGCATGAGGATGTCGGTGTACAGGGGCCCATGACAGATTAACGGGCCTTGGCAGCAGCGCATTGGAGGAGTCGGTTACGGGGGCCCATGGCAGATTACGGGCACTGGCAGTAGCAGCAATGGGAGGCCCGTACAGCTGGAAACCCACCAGCAGTGTGAGGAGACCTGAAAGTGGCACATGGCAGAGTGTGGCGATGGAGACTGCAGCAATGGGAGGCCGTACAGGGACCCCATGACACACTCTGGACCTGGCAGCAGCATGAGGAGGCGGTACAGGGGCCCATGACAAGATTACGGGGCCTGGCAGCAGCATGAGGAGTCGGTACGGGGGCCCATGGCAGATTACGGGCCTGGCAGCAGCAATGGGAGGCCCGTATCTGGGACATGGACACCCTATGGACAAGAATGGCAGCAGCATGAGGAGGACGGTACAGTGTGAGGACAGATGTCTACCGGTCACTGGCAGCATGGCAGAGTCGGTGGCGATGTGAGGATTACGCAGGCAGCAGCTATGGGAGGGCCGTTACAGGGACCCTATGGACACACTTGGATCTGGACCTTCTTAGGACAGCCAGCATGTGGATTATTTGGCGGTACAGGGGCCCATGACAGATTACGGGCCTGGCAGCAGCATGAGGAGTCAGGTACGGGGGCCCATGGCAGATTACGGGCCTGGCAGCAGCAATGGGAGGCCGTAATCTGACCAGCACCCTATGACAAAATGGAACCCACCAGCAGCAGTGAGGAGACCTGAAAGTGGCACATGGCAGAGTGTGGCGATGGAGGACAGCAGCAATGGGAGGCCGTACAGGGACCCATGACACACTCTGGACCTGGCAAGCAGCATGAGGCATGAGGCGTTTAGGGGCCCATGACAGATTTCGGGCCTGGCAGCAGCATGAGGAGTCGGTACGGTACGGGGGCCCATGGCAGATTAGCCTGGCAGCAGCAATGGGAGGCCCGTACTGGGGCACCCTATGACAAAATGGAACCCACCAGCTGTGTGAGGAGACCTGAAAGTGGCACATGGCAGAGTGTGGCGATGGAGACAGCAGCAATGGGAGGCCGTACAGGGACCCATGACACACACTCTGGACCTGGCAGCAGCATGAGGAGGGCGGTACAGGGGCCCATGACAGATTACGGGCCTGGCAGCAGCATGATGGGCCCGTCGGTACGGGGGCCCATGGCAGATTACGGGCCTGGCAGCAGCAATGGGAGGCCCGTAATCTGCCAGCACCCTATGACAAAATGGAACCCACCAGCAGTGTGAGGAGACCTGAAAGTGGCACATGGCAGAGTGTGGCGATGGAGACAGCAGCAATGGGAGGCCGTACAGGGACCCATGACACACTCTGGACCTGGCAGCAGCATGAGGAGGCGGTACAGGGGCCCATGACAGATTACGGGCCTGGCAGCAGCATGAGGAGTCGGTACGGGGGCCCATGGCAGATTACGGGCCTGGGCAGCAGCAATGGGAGGCCCGTAATCTGCCAGCACCCTATGACAAAATGGAACCCACCAGCAGTGTGAGGAGACCTGAAAGTGGCACATGGCAGAGTGTGGCGATGGAGACAGCAGCAATGGGAGGCCGTACAGGGACCCATGACACACTCTGGACCTGGCAGCAGCATGAGGAGGCGGTACAGGGGCCCATGACAGATTACGGGCCTGGCAGCAGCATGAGGAGTCGGTACGTGGGCCCATGGCAGATTACGGGCCTGGCAGATGACGACGAGGGCTGCCAAGTGCGAATCAGCCAGCATCATCATCAATTAGGGTCTCACCAGCCTCACTACTAGCCCCCTCGGCTGCGTGGCAGTGTGGTCAGGAGACAGACCTGTCTCTAGACCGGCTACCGAGCCACTCTCCTCGCCACTACTTCTTCGCCTGGCTGCAGAAGAGGCGGATGTCTCCCCCCGTTCCTGACCGCCCTCTGTTAGCTCTTCCTCACTGTACAGTGGGGCTGAGCCCACAGCATGCGATACTTCGCTTGGTGAGGGAACACCAAGGACAGGGGCAGGTAGAGGACACGTGATTTCAGTGGGCTTGCTCCCGGGCCATGCCAACTAACGGTTGTGTCTGATGTACCCACCGACCGTTGGCTGTAGGTGTCAGAGGTGACCTGGGAAGAGGAAGATGACCGAGCCAACCAATCGATGACGGCAGGGTTGTCGGTGGAGACACGACCGCTGGATGACACCGGGAGCACTGGCCTCTGGCTGCGACTAGTGCTGCCTCGACCCCTTCCTCTGCTGCCACGTACTGCTCGCTCCTGAAACATTGCCTCCTCTGCCACTCCTCTGCGTGTTGTCTGACATACTCTTTAATTCAATGATTCTGTGTCCCTGAGTAACGATTCTGTGTCCCTGAGTAACAATTCTGTGTCCCTGAGTAACGATTCTGTGTCCCTCAGTAACGATTCTGTGTCCCTCAGTAACGATTCTGTGTCCCTGAGTAACGATTCTGTGTCCCTGAGTAACGATTCTGTGTCCCTGAGTAACAATTCTGTGTCCCTCAGTAACGATTCTGTGTCCCTCAGTAACGATTCTGTGTCCCTGAGTAACAATTCTGTGTCCCTGAGTAACAATTCTGTGTCCCTCAGTAACAATTCTGTGTCCCTGAGTAACGATTCTGTGTCCCTGAGTAACAATTCTGTGTCCCTGAGTAACGATTCTGTGTCCCTGAGTAACGATTCTGTGTCCCTCCCCTAGTAATGATTCTGTGTCCCTCAGTAACAATTCTGTGTCCCTGAGTAACGATTCTGTGTCCCTGAGTAACAATTCTGTGTCCCTGAGTAACGATTCTGTGTCCCTGAGTAACGATTCTGTGTCCCTCAGTAAACAATTCTGTGTCCCTGAGTAACAATTCTGTGTCCCTGAGTAACAATTCTGTGTCCCTGAGTAACGATTCTGTGTCCCTGAGTAACAATTCTGTGTCCCTGAGTAACAATTCTGTGTCCCTGAGTAACAATTCTGTGTCCCTGAGTAACAATTCTGTGTCCCTGAGTAACAATTCTGTGTCCCTCAGTAACGATTCTGTGTCCCTGAGTAACAATTCTGTGTCCCTGAGTAACAATTCTGTGTCCCTGAGTAACAATTCTGTGTCCCTCTCTAGTAACGATTCTGTGTCCCTGAGTAACGATTCTGTGTCCCTGAGTAACGATTCTGTGTCCCTGAGTAACGATTCTGTGTCCCTGAGTAACAATTCTGTGTCCCTGAGTAACAATTCTGTGTCCCTGAGTAACAATTCTGTGTCCCTCAGTCCCCCTGAGTAACGATTCTGTGTCCCTGAGTAACAATTCTGTGTCCCTGAGTAACAATTCTGTGTCCCTGAGTAACAATTCTGTGTCCCTGAGTAACAATTCTGTGTCCCTGAGTAACGATTCTGTGTCCCTGAGTAACGATTCTGTGTCCCTGAGTAACAATTCTGTGTCCCTGAGTAACAATTCTGTGTCCCTGAGTAACAATTCTGTGTCCCTGAGTAACAATTCTGTGTCTGTGTCCTGAGTAACAATTCTGTGTCCCTGAGTAACAATTCTGTGTCCCTGAGTAACAATTCTGTGTCCCTGAGTAACAATTCTGTGTCCCTCAGTAACGATTCTGTGTCCCTCAGTAACAATTCTGTGTCCCTGAGTAACAATTCTGTGTCCCTGAGTAACAATTCTGTCTGTCCCTGAGTAACAATTCTGTGTCTGTCCCTGAGTAACAATTCTGTGTCCCTGAGTAACAATTCTGTGTCCCTCAGTAAACAATTCTGTGTCCCTCAGTAACGATTCTGTGTTCCCTCTGTCCCTGAGTAACAATTCTGTGTCCCTGAGTAACAATTCTGTGTCCCTGAGTAACGATTCTGTGTCCCTCAGTAACAATTCTGTGTCCCTGAGTAACGATTCTGTGTCCCTGAGTAACGATTCTGTGTCCCTCAGTAACAATTCTGTGTCCCTGAGTAACAATTCTGTGTCCCTGAGTAACAATTCTGTGTGTCCCTGAGTAACAATTCTGTGTCCCTGAGTAACAATTCTGTGTCCCTGAGTAACGATTCTGTGTCCCTCAGTAACAATTCTGTGTCCCTGAGTAACGATTCTGTGTCCCTCAGTAACAATTCTGTGTCCCTGAGTAACAATTCTGTGTCTGTCCCTGAGTAACGAATCTGTGTCCCCTGAGTAACAATTCTGTGTCCCTGAGTAACAATTCTGTGTCCCTAAGTAACGATTCTGTGTCCCTAAGTAACGATTCTGTGGCCCTAAAGTCTCTCTGGCCCTAACTCTGTCCCTAATACAGACAGGTCTGTCTCTCTTGAATGACCGGAGGCTAATGGAGAATTGTAAGATGGCCGCAATTTATAGCTCCACCATTACACAGTGCTGGCTGGCTGGCTGCTGATTGGCTAATGCGATCACATGTCATGAATGAATGCATTATGGGTCAGCGCGCCTTGTCTGCGCGCCTTCCCAGAGATCCCCGCTCCGTCGCCACACATGTCGCCGCCATTTTTGGGAAAATTCGATTCGTGCATCCGAAGTTTGCTAATTTTCGGATTCGGCGCGAATCGAATTTTTCCTGATCTTCGAAACGAATTCCACTTCGCCATGTTCGATTCGCTCATCTCTACCCAGCAGTCATCCGCTTCTAAAAATGCTTTGTATCAGAATGAGCTCAATGGCGTCCACTATGGCATCCATACAATAAACTTCTGCGCACAGGGCAGAATCCCCTCCTGGCACCCCTTGTCCTGGCCTGGCATGCACCCCTAAATGAAAGAAGTATTTAAGCCTTGCAGTGTGGAGTGGGCAGGGGGGTGATTTCAACAATAGATTTTGTCTTATTGCCGACGTTCAACTTTATTAATTAATGATTGCAGAGCTACATTAATTTGTGTCTTTTATATCTGCCTAGAGTTCATCTTTAAGTGTTTACTGTAATCACTTTTCAGGCTTTCATATCAGCGTGTGCAATCAAACATCAAATATTCAAGAGTATTTTTAGTTCAGCTTAAAGGATTCTTGACTTAGCCATTTAAAAGTCATCGCATTTTACTAATTATTTTTAGTTAGAATTTAGGTAAGAGCCAGACAGTGAGCTTTTCAATTCTATGTTAATGCAAAATGAAGTTCATACATTAAGCTTGTTAATTACATTTTTATTTAGATATTTTACATTTTAGCAGACAAGCTAAATAACTTTACACAAAAGAAACGCAACATCTATGTGCAGTACATTGAGCATAGGAAACTATCGTTTAAAACATTACAATTAGCTTGACAAAGAACACTGACATTTCTAATCATGTGATATTAATTTCTTGGGTTAATAGTCATAAAAATGATAATGATTTCTGTAGTCATAATAAAGGAGCAGAATGAGGAGCATTAAATATCAGCATCGCAAAGTCAATTTTGGAGGTCAGAGGAAATCTAAGACTGCTGTTCTGACAATGCAAATCTGCTGTATTTCATAGAACATTCAGTGCTGACCTATAAAATGGGTTTATTCCACTTGTGACCAGGAAATTAGCAAGTTCCAATTGATTTCAGCTGCATTAAATGGCAAATGTTTGTTACCCCATTCCCCTACACCTCTTAGTCTACCTAAAGCCTGGTTCACACCTATGTGTTTTTTAGTGCTTTTTGCGTTTTGCAGAAAGTCACTACAGTTCATTTAATATAGTTTCCTAAGGAACACACATGTTCACATCTATGTGTTTTCAGCTGCTGCGTTTTTCGGATAGGGTCAGGACAGGGGCGGACTGACCATTTGAGCACTCGGGCACTGCCCGAGGGGGCACAGGGTCAGTAGGGGGCCCCATGAGATGCCCCTGGTACCTTTCATTGGCTTTTTCATAGGCTTTTTTGGGGTTATGGGCGAGGACACAGGGGCCCCATGATCCCCTATTGCCCGGGGGCCCCATGAGTTGTTAGTCCGCCCCTGGGTCAGGAACTTTTTTCCTGCAGCTGATTGTAACACGTATAGGTGTAAACCAGACCTTAGGCCGCATTCACATTTTGAATGGGGCTTTTAGGCTTGGTTCACACCTATGCCTTTTTCAGTGATTTTTGTGTTTTGCAGAAACTCAGTACAGTCCATTTGACATGGTTTCCTATGGGACATCTTCACATCTATGAATTTTCAGCTGCTGCCTTTTTGGATAGGGTCAGGGACATTTTTTTTTGCAGCAGATTACAAACACACATAGGTGTGAACCAGGCCTTAGTGATTACATGCATGAAATCCAGGGGGGAAGTCCTAGTGATTAGCTGCACACAGCAGTTCCATTGAAAGCGATAGAAGGCTGACAACTTCCACAGCTAGTCACAGTCATTTACATGTGATTGCTCCTGCATACCTGTGAACGATTGCCCATGGATGCAGACTAACTAACATGAAAGAGGTTAAAAGGCAGCCGATACATAGCTCTGCACATGTACTTAGTATGGCCATTAAATTCCATGATTGTAGTGGATGAGAAGGCATTAAAGATTATGTAAACCCAACATTTCATATTCCTGATACAGTATGTACCTGCTGTACCATGTACTTGTAGGAAAAATTAACCTGTTCTCTTTGTATTGCTTCCGTTATGTGAAATCTCTGGTGTTCCTGCCAGTCACTCTGCTTTCCTTTTAAAAAACTGACCACACTAGGCATGAGAGCACAGAGTGGTAAGGTCTCTAAGTGTGCTGGGAACTCAGTCTGTTCTCCTGAAAAGGAATAGTATCTTTGTACAACATGATTAGCAATGGATTTAGATCATAGGACTTTTTGTGTTTTTTTTTATTTTTCAGTAAAGGACGTTGTGCATCTTTATTCACTCATTTCACTTATTTGTGCGAATGCTTAG